TTTTATATTGATTCAGCTTAACTGATTTTGATCTTACACCTCAGTGGTTTATTTCCTTGAATGAACCCATCAACACTCTTAAGTAGTCCACTATTTCTGTGATTAGGTAAATGGTCGACTATGTTATATTAAAACGATCTGGGAGCCTCATCACCTCGTTACACTCCATGTCACCTCGTCCGGCCATGCTCTACCTTACCATGCATCTTGACAATAGCACTGGAGTGTAATTTCTTTTGCAAATGTCTCCATCGTAAGGATTCCATGTCCAAAACATACCCCTTTTCCCTGATTACTTTCCATACTTCATCCAGTGTACAAGGATGACCGTTTTCCAGCACTTGTTTCAACAGTCCAATCACCGTTTTCCAGCACTTGTTTCAACAGTCCAATCAACCGTTTTCCAGCACTTGTTTCAACAGTCCAATCACACAGGATTTCATAGACGCTGCACTAAGGGACTTGACCAACATGTTTTATAGAATAGCATAAATATCTGTTTCGATCTCCAATTTCTCAAGATATATAACAGTTGAGCAGATATGCCGTGGAAGTAACTTATGAACTAAGGGACTTGACCAACATGTTTTATAGAATAGCATAAATATCTGTTTCGATCTCCAATTTCTCAAGATATATAATAGTTGAGCAGATATGCCGTGGAAGTAACTTATGAACTAAGGGACTTGACCAACATGTTTTTTTTTTATAGAATAGCATAAATATCTGTTTCGATCTCCAATTTCTAAAGATATATAACAGTTGAGCAGATATGCCGTGGAAGTAACTTATGCAAATGTGACTTGTGTCGTTTTCCAAATAGACTTCCTTTTTAATTATGTTTTGTACTGTTGTCTGGGGTACATGGACGGCTTTTGCTGCTGACCTATGTGTTTGTGTATTGTATCCTGTTACAAGAGGCCACACCTTGCTTTCCACGACTGGAGTTTGACATGTTGCAGTCTATTCATGGATGGTTCTACTTCCACAAGTTGACCCAGATTCCTATGTTTTCCTATGTCATTAAGCGCAAGGGATATCACCATCTTAGAAATTCTAAATCCTTGATTTGAACACATCTTTATGATCTTAGTGTATGAATATTTTGCCTAGGAAACAGCTATTGCAAAACCTTCCCAAAAGCTGTAAATGTATAATGACATTACACTATCTAAGGAACTCCAATTAATGTCAAAATACAGTTCTGAAACATGCCTTCCACGTGACTTTATATCGGATGTTGTTGCCATGTGACTTACTGATTAAAATTTATAAATCCTTTTTATATATCTGATATCGGATGAAGTAGAACCTAATTTTTAAGTATAGTCATCTTATTAAGATATTGTGTTAATGAGAATCGCGTTTACTTTGCTTTAAGAATAATTGCGACAAAAACGCTTTTGCATGAATGTTTCCATATCCAGTAAAATGGAGAAATATATAGATAGGTAGTCCCAACGAAATTAATGAATATAAAAACAAAATCTGATACTAACATAGATGGACGTATGATTTATGAAATATGTGTATTATATATTTCTTAAAAGTGAACACTAAAATCTATTAAAAAAAAGTCTTTTTTCCATGTGAACAGACATCAAGAGACAAAAAAAAAAATATATATGAAGATGAGAAACGTTGCCATCTGTGTTATGTAAAACATTAACTCAAGGTAAGGATATAAATAGCTTCTCTCCATCCTGAGCCTATGCGTATAGTAAGTAATTGGAAATAGAACACCGCTGGCTTTTATATGAGCCAATATCCTTTACTTCAATAATTCAAAGAAATGGCCGACTTCCCAGCGGAACTTCAATTCTACAGAGACCAAACGTTCACTGGAACAACAAAAGGCTACACGGAGCATCTTACCCAGATATCAGTCAAGATGTACAGTTGAGAGTAAAGCACAGAAAACATTTGTGACATCGAAGCGAATAAGGTTATTCTGGTTTTAATTTTGTCCTCATAAAGTATCCTTCTGTTCTTATCTAGATATAACTCCCAATAAAATATAGCTGAGTAGGAGCTCCCGCAGCTTTCATATAACTTACAATTAAATTATGCTGAGCTGACATGCTTGCGATATATATATTCTTTTATACAAGCATAATTGCTTTTATTGATCAGCCAGTTCTCAGACTTATTTTTTCACATAATTCAACACACTATTTCGATACTTATTTTAATTGTATCAAAATCATGCTTTTAGAATTTTCAAGTGGATTTTTTTCTCAAATATACTTAACCATATCGTAAATTCAATCCATTAATAATTAAGCCTACGACAAAAGTTAAGGTAATCATAAAATTAATTTAGTCTTGTCTGGTACAACGGTTCTAAATCTCTAACGCTAAATAAAAATGCACTTTTTAGTCTACATAAAGCTTTTATGTCCATGCATTTCATATTGGTAGATAGTTAAGTTATTATACCATACTCCAGTTGGTGAAACCTGTAGGAAATGTGTCATTTACAATAAGACATAATAACGACGCTTCTATTCCTTTTGTTACAGTGTCTACTTCCTTCACTAGCATAGTTTGTGAGTATTTACTAACGAGTTGGCCAATAAAGAATTAAATGTAGTACAAGTTTAGTTTACTAAGAGAGTGGAGTGGTTCTATAACGTGCAC